TGAAAGAGTGTTATTAAACTTTATTACACAGCTATTTCTGGTAGCAGCTGGGGAAGAGTCCTTACTGAATTACAGGGCCATTGCAAGGAAGGTTAGAGCCACATTTCACTGATGTGAGAGGGTTAAACCCTTGAATTCTTTTGTGTCACGTCCACAGTCTCATGGTATAGTCGAAGATAAGTAAATTGGCAGGAAACAAGGTGCTTTAGATGCTGGTACTGCTTGATTGGACAAGGTCTAAGGTGATACCTCATGGTCAAAAATGACAGTGTACACTGTTAGAAATAAAGGTACTGTGCAGGTGTGTTCATCAAGGTACAAACAATGTAAATACACCCTCAAAGATACAATGATTTTAAGGTCTAATTGTGTACCTTAAATAAGTTTTTCCCAGTGGAAAAGTACATAGAAAAGTACAAATTTGTACCTTTTCATAACCTATTGTTTTAAAAAAGAACAATAAAATAAAAAGCCTGGAGACGAGACGGGGTGTGTGGAGTCAAAACAACTTATATAATTTAAATGGATTATGGTACAGTTACGTTCCCTGACTAAAGGTACTGAAATGTACCCTTGAGGGTACCACCCCAGTGACCATTTCATACCTTTTTTTTCAGAGAGTATATATGTGTTACATTACTCTACTTCTGCTTCTCATTTCTTCCTTTATTGCTACTGTTTCCACTGTAGTAATTCATTACTGTGGTATATAAAACCCTTATTTTAGCCTAATGGGGTGAATGGTAGAATGGGTAACTAATTATACTGAGTTATGTAAAAAACATACATGTATTTTTAAGAGAGAGAGAGAGACGCTCCAATGGAATGGGTTATTCCTGTATTATTTCTGCAGTTTTGAGATTGATTTCTAATTTCATACTACAGTGTGCGAGCCACTGGCTGATTTTGTTGATGGTGTTTCATAATGTTCCCTAATGCTTAACTTCTGGTGGCTTTCCTTTCCTTGGAAATCTTAAAGTTAAAAGTCATTAGAAAATATATTTCATACTGTTAGTGTTTGGAAGAGACATTAAAAATTACACCATGTGTTCATCTTGACATGGATGAAGTAATATAAAGTTGTATGCAAAAGTTTGAGCACTTTTGGTCAAATTACATGTTTTGTTGATTTGAAATAAATTAATACATTCCCTACAGAGCACACATGTAAATATGACATTTTTCTGCACATTTATGTGCACATTTTATATTTTTACATTTATAGTTTAAGTTAGAAAAAAAATCTAAAATCTAAAATGTGCCTTAACTTTTGCACAGTTCACATTTTATGTTTCATTTCTCTATTCTCTGTAGAATCATTATGTATTATGTATAATGTATTAACCTACTTTCACTTGGAAAATCAACAAGGCATTTACTTTGACCAGGGGTGCCTAAACTTTTGAATACTTTTACAAACTTTTGTGCTCAGACATTTTGGAGTGAAGTCACTTCAGCTAACACCTGAACTCCAATTATCAGTGTGGGTGAGTTATCCACTACACTATACAACAACCTCAAATCAATTAAGTTATAACTCACTGTAATGAAACAGACTTAGTCAGATGGATGCAGGTAAAATGGGAAAAAGAGGCTTTACTAGTTTGCCAAAATCCACAATCAAGGTCAAAAAACAGGCAAAGGTCGAAACCAAAATGAGCCAAAAATAAACAAACATAAGTCAGATGCTGATGCCTCAGGCATCAGAACTGCTGCACCATTTAAGGCGGAGCAGGAATTTTCTAACAAGAAGCTGGCAAACAGCTGACATTAGCTTCATATCACCAAAGAATTAGGGGTGGGCAATAATATATAATTGTCCTACACCTCCTCTTTGAAGGCATATGATGTGCTAAATTTAAATAAAGACCAGCAGTGAGGTTGCTGAACTTTACCCTCCTCTGCTATCACTGCAGACTGACAAGGTTGCCTACAGAGCACTGCTAGTAGCCTGTTAATAAAGTAATGTTCTTTTATATTTGAGCGTTTCATAGGGGAAGATTTCAACCACTACCCCTTGTAACTCAGTTGCAAGGTGACACTCAAAAACAAGGGGTAGGGGTAAACTATACATGCGGACCAAGACTCAGGAGGCAGCAGGACAGGGGCTCAAGCCCCTTTGGGAGCTATATGTGCAGAGTGGTATGTTTAAAACCTTTTCTGCTTTCTAGAGTGGTGGAATATAATTTAAGGAGAGTAAAAATGACATATGCAGTTTGGCATTTGCAAGCTAAGTAAGCTTTTCAGAGTCACGAGTGAAGGAGATGCTGCTCTGATGGATTACTTCTGCAGCTATATTAAGTGGTATACAGCCTTTCTTACACTTATTCAGTTTCAGGCATGAAATCTCATGGTATTAATTAGCAAACTTCCACAGCCAACAGCTTGACTGTAGCACATGAGGTGTGGGGTGGAGTGCTTGCTGTACGCGAAAGGGAGGATTCCCTGAGCATTTGGATAATGAGTGATCTTTAGCAGCAGGTGCTTGACACTCCCCCCACATTACTCAATGAGATCACAGTCGATGTTAGTTAAATAACCCTCTATCTGAAAATGCTGCATGCAAATAGCTGCTAGATTCAGTCATGCTACCAATACACTTTCAAGTAAATCAGCTGAAACAAACAGTGTAAAGGGGAGCATGGAACATATGGACCAGGCTCTTTTTTCTCATGGGAAGGATTTTCTTCTAGGCTCTCTTATCAAAGCACAGTGCTGAAAAAACATTTCATAGTCCCTTCAGAAACCCTGTTGTGAGTCTTTGAAGTATCATGTGCTTGAGGAGACATCTCATGTGCATTTTATTAGTAAAGGAGGAGGGAGAGAAAGGAGAAAAAGAAAGAAAAGGTAAGATCAAATGAGAGATGGTCAACTTGGCTCAGCACAGGGATTACAGGCCACTATGGTATGCTGCTAGTATGCTACTGCAATATCTTATACCGGATTAAAGCTGTTATCGGATTTTAAGAAATCCAATAAAACCACCTGGATTTTAGTAATAATCGGGTTATTCAATGCGTGTTCGCCATTAATCTGATATCTTTCTTTTTTTTCAACTGGGCACAAATAGCTGGAGCAGATTTGCCTTGGAAGGAATAAATAAGCTTGAAATATGACAGATTTGTGTTTGTCCATGTCACTCCTCTGTATTCCCTTCACTGGTTTCCTGTAGCTGCCCACATCAGATTTAAAACGTTGATGCTTTGCCTACAAAGCCAAGAATGGACTTGAAGGCAATGGTCAAAACCTGAACTTTACCTTGAGCCCTTCAAGCCTTGAGTACAGCTCATCTTGACCCTCCATCCCTGAAGACTTGTGGAAAACAAGCACCAAGACTCCTGTTAAATTCACCCTGGCTGTCTGAACAGCTGTCTTCACAAGCCACAGACACGTATTAAAATGGCTTGCAATTGCACTTATTAACTGACTTGTAATCTCTGTGTATTGTGCATCTGTACATATATAGGAACAGATATCTAAATATCAGCACTAAATACTGTCTCTGGCGGGGTCTTAGCTCAAGGATATCTTTAGATTCCAGACTATTTACACTAGCTTAAGGATACAAAGCACTTTTGTAAATCACTCTGGTTAAAAGTGTCTGCTAAAAAGCTGTAAATGCAAATATTTGCCAGTAAATAATGTAAAACTTTACAGGAGAAAGCAAAAATAAAGCATTTCTACTGGTCTACTGGTCATCATGAAAGTTTCACACAATGTAAAGGGCAGCTGCTGTGTTTAAATAACATAGAAAAATTAAAATCACATAAAATGTATCATGATAAAAAGATACATATTTTTACAGCAATAAAATATTTAATATTAATTTTCTAGTAAGTACCTTAATTTTACATCACATGCCTGTTGGATGTTTTATGTGGGGTTTTATTAATTCATTAATTTATTTATTCATTTTGGTGGGTTACAATGGAACTAGAGGCATTTGAAAAAGAAATCTGATTATTGACTGATTCATGTAGACTTGAAGTATTAATATTTCCAGAAGCGCATGAAAAAACTGTATTTTTGAAAAAAATATATTATTGCCAAAATCTTTGCAGTTCTCAAATTACTGTCTGCATGTAAACATATTCGCTGGAGCTTAGAGCAAAGTTGTGAGCACAGTTTTGAAACTAAAGTGGGTGACAAATGGCAGTTCCTGACACTATAGGATGCTGTAATGAAATAATGTAATATCATTGCATGAGTTTTGACTTTAATTACATGCCAGTCAGTAACGCAGGTTCAGATGCTGCTATTGTGTCCAAATGAAATAAATCAAGCTAAGATGTTGTGTTGTCAAATGAACAAGTTTGATGTTCACTGTTCCATTATTCTCCTCCTAAGTTCAGTCCAACTATAATTTAACATATTTCGATGTGATCACTGAAAGGATCCTCAAAGTAGTAGCCACATCTACTCCATATGAATGTTTATATAGTATTTCAATGTTTATTACATGCTCATTCAAGCATCACTTGCAGTAAAGGTACACTATGAGGTGCAGCATGTGTGTGAGAGCTTACAGGAGTGAAAGGCCTGTTTGTCCATTCTGATGCATGAGTTCCAGATCCAGTCACTTAAGATAGAAAAATAATAATTATATAAAGAGATAAAGAATAAGTATAAAAAGATAAAGAATAATAATAAAAAAACAACTTAACATAGGAGAACAAATGAAGTCTGGTTAACAAGAGGTTGATCAGACTGTAGCCTTTTTTATTTCAGAATTGTGGGACTGTAAATGTGGTAACGAACACTCAATCCTTTTGACCTTGGGAGCCCATAGCAACCTTTTAAATGGAAGACAGAGAGAGAAGGGTTGAAAATGTTTGTGCATTTGAGAGAGAGAGAGAGAGAGAGAGACAGAGTGAGAATTCTATGAAAAGAATATAAACAGAAAAGACGAGAAAATGCAGCACCACTCCTGCCAATCCAGACGTGTCTTCCTTTCTTCACTCCCTTTATGACTCATTCCTTTTCATCATTCTGTTTTCCAGGAAATCACTGAGGTGGGCAAAGCACTGTGGCCTTACGGACTGACCTCCAGCCTACCCCTCAGAGAGGGAGAGATTGAAAAACCTGAGGGAGGGAAATACATTTGATTATCTTGACTGAATCACCCCGAGAAGAATATTCATGGACTAGACAGACAATGGAGTGATACGCAAAAGCCAAATGTCTAGGTCCCTTCATTTTGGCAGACTGATAAAACAATAAACCCTAAGATGACTCTGCACTCCTGAAAGCTGTCACTGTCAATCATCTACTTAACCCAGTCAAACCATTCTGATTAAGAAACAGAGACGTGGATAAGATCCAAACTGTTGCAATGTCTCCACCCTGGTTAAGTGGACTTAGATGGACCACGTGTTATGGTTCATGTTCCCTGCTGGTTCTTCTCACTGTTTTTCTGGCCACATTGGCAGCAAGACCCAAAGGACCAGGCCATGTGCATCTAAACTCCATCCGCATTGATGGAGACATTACTCTGGGAGGACTATTTCCGGTTCATGCACGAGGCCATGGAGGAAAGCCCTGTGGGGAGCTAAAGAAAGAGAAGGGAATTCATCGTCTGGAGGCCATGCTCTTTGCTCTGGACCGCATCAACAATGACCATGAGCTGCTCCCCAACATTACTCTGGGGGCCCGCATTCTGGACACCTGCTCGCGGGACACTCACGCTCTGGAGCAGTCTCTCACTTTTGTCCAGGCGCTGATAGAGAAGGATGGAACGGATGTCAAATGTCCAGATGGTGGAACACCAATGATCACCAAGCCTGAGAGAGTTGTAGGCGTCATCGGTGCTTCCTCCAGCTCTGTGTCTATCATGGTGGCTAACATCCTCCGTTTGTTTAAGGTAAGTGCTATGCTCAATTCTCTGTATGTAAGCCATGCTGGCCATTGACGGGATATGGTTTATCAGGAGCTTAGCAAAAGGAGGGTCATTGGGTCATTCTACCTACACCAAATAAAGACCCAAAACATCTCAATTAGTATTTAAACCATGCTGTACCATAAGTGCATGTTCACCATGCAATTCTGTGATTGAACAGTGTTTAATATTATAAATAAAAGAACTAACATTGTCAAAATAGCAGAAGCAGCAGTTTGCTTAGGTATGGCAGCATATTCCAGACTTGTTTCAATGCAGTGCCAATGGGCAATTTGTTCTGTTTTTAATATTTCAGAGTCAAATCATTAAGACAATGAAAATGAAATGTCAAAAGCACTTTTCCATATTAATGTTTTCCAGCCATTATATGCAGAATTGCAAAACAACTACATGTTTTGCATTCGAATTTGAATTGTGTCTTATGTCTTATATAATGTACACACACCTGGGGTTTACACATTTGAATTAGCATTTTCAAAATTGCATTTGAGCTAGAAAAAAGTCCGGAATGTGTTGCCATATGTGGGAGCCTTCCGATGTAATCCAGGGTAATTCAAGACAATCTAAACTATGTGCCGGATGTAGCAGATGGCAAAATTGCTGGATCAGGATTGGGAAAATAGCAGGCCTACCTAACTGCTACACTGTTAGAAATAAAGGTTCTGTGCAAGTACATTTTTTGTTCATCAAGGTACAAACAATGCAAATGTTCCCTCAAAGGTACGACAGTGGTTTTAAGGTCCAATTGTGAACCTTAAATACATTTTCCCAGGTGAAAAGTATGCATTTGTACCTAGAATGCACCAGAACAATAAAATAAAAGCCTGGAGACGAGATGGGGTGTGTGCAGTCAATACAATTTAGAGAATATAATTTCAATGGATTATGGTTCAGTTATGTTCCCTGACTAAAGGTACTCAGATGTACCCTTGGTACCACCCCAGTGACAAATGTTTGCTACCTTTTTCTGAGAGTGTAAGGTTAATATTGTAGCCGTAGCATTAGGTCAAAGGCTCACCAATATCCTGCCTTTGTAATAAAAATGTCAATTTTTTTTTTGGAAAAATGCCCCCCACCCCTCCTTCTAATAGACTGCCTACACCCCTGTATAGGCACACAAACCTCACTCTTTTGATTATGACACTCTTTGTTCATTCATCTACGTTATCTGATTTAGTTTTGTAAAGCACGGTTGAGAACAGACTTCATTACTCAGTGGTTCTGAATTAGAATTATACTTCTTCATTTTCAAACATTCAGTACTTTTCAAACGTAGCACATGCGTATTTTGTTATGACAGCTACTACGTCAACATGATGAATGTTAAACGGCACATTTTTAATGAATGCTTCAGAGAAAATATGAATATGCAAATGATTTAGTTGATAAATGGAATGTGTGAATGATGACTTCACCTACTCTGATGCAGTGGCAGAATACTAGTATGAAAAATACTTAAAAAAGGACTTACAATTGTAAAAATCTACATGCCATGAATAGATGATGGTTCTCTAATGATTTGTATTAGCATATTAAAGGAAATGTTCATTTTATCTATGATTTACAAGCATATTCTTACTCAAAGTGTGCATGATTGATGGGGACTGAGTTGATTACTAGGCTTAACCTCTAGAATTCCAACACCTGAATTAATGTAATTCTTGTAATGAGAGGAAAATGAGGCACAATTTCTGCTGCGGTTTGGTCTTACATACAAAGCCATTATATTATCCATCATACATCCATCCATCCATCATCTAAACCGCTTATCCTTCTGGGTCGCGGTGGGGTGCTGGAGCCTATCCCAGCTGTCATCGGGCGGAAGGCAGGATACACCCTGGACAGGTCGCCAGTCCATCGCAGGGCAGACAAACAGACATATACATCCACACACACACTCACACCTAGGGGCAATTTAGCACGTCCAATTGACCTGACTGCATGTTTTTGGACTGTGGGAGGAAACCGGAGTACCCGGAGGAAACCCACGCAGACACGGGGAGAACATGCAAACTCCACACAGAAACGACCCTGGTCACCCAGCCGGGAATCGAACCCAGGCCATTCTTGCTGTGAGGCGACAGCGCTACCCACCGCGCCACTGTGCCGCCCTCCATCATACATATCAATGATATTAACTGTCAGGGCGTATAGGCCCAGGAATATACAACAACATCTTCAGAGCTGAATATGTTGAATACCGAGCTCACAGCTGGACACAAATGAACCCTGTAAGTGTTAATTCCACTGGGGCCCTTTTTATTCCATTGGGGATTTTGCTGTGTATACCTACACTAACCAACTGATTTGTTTGAAGACAGGTACACATGTGTAAGACAGTATGTTTTTCAACACTATTGCAGGCCTGCTTAAAGGATAATTCCACTGATTTATCAAAATTCTTAGATAATTCAGTAAACAAATTCATTCAGAGTGGTGTGATGTGAAATTGTGCATTGTAGAGAAACTTGCCAAGTCTGATTTATTTTCAATGGTTGTGACAGGAACTGGGGATGTGATGTCTACAATGCAAATATAAGCATTTAATTTATTATTCAAAACCAGTGAACCTATATGTCTTCTCTGATTTTATATGTATTGTTGATAATAATAAAATGTTCTTTGGGTTCTATTGTGCCTTAAAATGGCCTGCATGTACCTCTCTGATTAAAAAAAATAGTTTTAGGCCAAAATCTTATCTCTTAAAACAATGTCTCAGGTATTTGTAACCATTTCAGCTTAATAGCTTCCTGTGAGTCAGCTTTTAAAGGGTGTTAAACTCTTCAGATGTCTGGCTCCTATCATCGCCACTGTTAATCATGACTCTGTAAGTTTCTCTAACAGAGCATTTCAAACCACTCTGAATGACTTTGTTTACGTCTTAACACTTTAATTATGCAGAAACTGGTAAAATTCCCCTTCAATGTACCAACCTTAATAAGAAAATATGATAAAACATTATTTTGTGTTTATGCACTCCAGAAATCATTGTTTGAAATTACATTAGTACAAAATTTTAAGATGCAGCTAAAGACATGTTTTTATAAACTTTTTACAAATTCCTTGTTTTGAAGTCCTTTTATCATCTTCTATTACTTCTACTACTATTTTTTCTTTGTTGCTTTGCTTACTTGCTAATGATACTATTATTTCTTTTATCTTTTACCTAATAATTTTTGCTTATTTTATCATTTAATGTTTCTTATTTTTGTCATTTAGCTACATTCTTGTTTCCTTTGTGTTTGATTTTTATATTGTTTTTTACTCTATTGAAGTCTGTGAAGCACATTGAGCTGCAGTATGTGTATTACATTATATATATATATATATTATTAATAATATATTATTATTAATAATAATAACAATAAGAAGAAGAAGAAGGAGAAGAAGAAGGAGAAGAAGAATTATAGTAATAAACTTTTCCTTTCAGTAAGGTTGAGCCTAGAATTTGTGTTTCTAGACATAGAGTCAGTCTAGCCCTGTTATAAAGGACTTTCAGTGGAAAATGCTCTTGTTTTAATGGCTTAATCTGTGTCCAGAAAATGGCCCAGTGATCCATAAGCTGGTGTTCATTTGTTGAGTCCCTGTGGATGGTGAGAACAAGTTATTATTTTCACTCCTGTTTGCTGCATGAATTTTGAATAATTTTAAAACATCAAAGATGCCTCTCATGTTTTCAGTGGGATCTGTGCAGTAATGAGGCCAAAATTTGTTTGCATTCAGGATTAGATTTGCACCTGCTGCATATGAATAATGTAGACAGCTATGGTTAGCTGTGGCTGTCATCCTCTGCAGGTCTGGAGTCAGTGAGATTGATCCTTACTTGTATCAGTTGGCACTGAAACAGCTACTCATTGTTTAATGGGTATTTACCATACACAAATAAATAAATAAACAAACAAATAAATAAATAAGCCAAATAAACAGCTATGCAGTGCCATTCATCAGCGAGGGAGGTGTGATTAAAGACAGACCACAGGCTCGGGGGGTGGGGAGTGTATGTGGCAGCATTGTGACAGTGATGACAGGCCTCAGGCACAAATGCTGCAATAAGCACATTTAATGCTTGCAGCTAAAACACTGCCATTACTGAGGTAGAGGCGGTGTGGTCTGCATCATTGCTTCTCTAGCTGTGGTTAGATCACGCATAGTCTAGACACACCATCTTATACACAAATTCACCAATGTGCACTAACAATCAGTCCTGAAATTGTCTGCTGATTAAACTCTTTAGTCCCTAACATTCCACGCACACTACTTCATCAGCAATTACGCTTCACACCTTTTATCCCTACTCTTCAACCTCTCCCAATCAGCCTCTCATAAGCCTTGCTCTTTCCTCCTCTTAAGCTAAAGTGGTGTCCTTTTTTCTCCCCTTTGTCAACCATGCACTTGTTTCTCTGCTTTCCAAGATTCTGCAATTCCCCCTGTATTCAGTGATAAATGCCACTTGTTCTTCCTCATCAATCATATTCTTTTAGTCATGGACAGCAGCCTAATCTTGTTCTTATCAACAGATTTCTGTCCATTCAGAATTGCTGAAGTTGTGAATGGCGAGGCTGGTAACCAGGGCCCATATTTAACATTTTTCTTGTTTTATTTTTTCCATGTATGATGTCTATAGGCTTTTGCGTAGGCCAAAAAGTGTTAGAATTAATTTAATATGACCATTCATTACACATCCAACCTGTCTTTATGCCATTCAGACTGATTCATGTAAATGACCTCTGTTCCGATTGACTGCACTGTGTTGCACCCAGGAATTGATCATGGTCTTGCGAGGCCCCAGGGCAAATGCATCTTTGGAGACTCCTAAACCTTATTATGAACACATGCCAAATAAACAAACACACAAACAGGACCTGAAAAGTGAGATTAAATAATAGCTCACATTAATTTTTATATGCAGGAGAAATGCAGGGTTTTTTTTTTTAAATGAATAAAATTAGCCTATTAATATGCAA